CCCCAAAACCCCAAAACCCCAAAACCCCACTGAAAGGATTGACTTTAAAATAATCTGATCATAAAAAGGTATAAAAGAAATGATAATTTAATTGATAATGCTTTTTCCAAAATTAATAAAATTGGCTTATAATTACTCAAAATCTTAGTCAATATTAAATATGATTTCTAGCTTTCCTGGCAGAGGCAATAAGTTCCTCTTTAATCATACTTTGTCTGGGATCATGATCTTTTTCATGGATCATCAGCATTTATGAGAATCCTACTTCTCTTTTCTTATTTGGTGATTAACTCAAATTACTACCAATTCTCTCACCACCTCTAAGCACATCTGAGGTACCTAGAGTACCAGAAAAAGTCTCTGGAATTAGCATTAATCTCCTAGATCTTTCATCTAGCTTCTAAGCAGCGTCTAACTCTGTCATAAGCTTGTTTTTACCTTCTAGATATATAGTACTCAACTCGCTATAGTTTTTATAAGTCTTTACTTTATCTAAATGATATCTCTCCTTGTTTAGTAGTCTTTATACCTCTGGAAAATCTTTGAATAATTTCACTTTATGATTATATGTCTAATTCAGATTTTAATTGGACTGCTGCTCTTTACTATTCATGGAATTTAAATTCTAAAATCGCTCTACACTATTCTATTATGTCCTGCAAACTTTGTATGGGTTAGTTTTACTGATTGCAATCGGTATTTAGTCTGGCAATTTTTTGTAGGCTATTTCTTTGCTTAGTGGCCCATAGCCATGAGTTTAGAAATTCACTCTTTTCCCTTCTGATTGATTTGATTTACTTTGAAAGGATTTACCAACTTCATCCTTTTTCTTATTAGCTGGGGAATTCCTTAGACTCCAGTAAAAATTATTCTAACCATTTATGATATCGTTGGGAAAGGCTACATCTAATAAATCTTATTCATTTCTCTTCTCTGTATGATAGTCAAGCCTTTCAAGCATTGTAATATCCTTCTTTGATTATAGAAAGTTTACTCTATGATTAGGATTTGTGATCTTATTAAGTTCATTTCTTTTACCATTAAATCTATTCGCTTAATCATTCCAGTATTGTTGATATTTGCTAAAGTTATCAAGTTATCTCTCCTCTCTGCTTTCGTCAAGTCTTTGATTCAAGGAGAGTTTCTTTAATCTAAAGGTATTTGATTGAAATTCCAAAGATCATCTTCGGTTTATCTCATCTACTATCTTACCCAAGTCTTAATCGGTCAGATCGATTTATTATGTAGGCTTAGCACCTTTCTTCGGAGTATCCGAACCCTTCTTATTTTTGGATGTATTGTGGCTACTTACAACGCTTCCTCTTCCTAGAATTGCAGCGAATGATACCTTATGATGGCTAGTTACATCACCTCCTCTAGATCTTAATCTTTATGCATTTGCAGATGGAGTCCTCAAGTTACTTGGGGACAACCAATCGATCTATGGGCCTCCTGAACTACTCATTATACCATAATTATTGTCATTGGGTGATAGAGGATGATTACTATTATTATTGTGAAGTGTATTAGAAGCTATCATTCGTTCTTTTTATTTCCTATCATAAATTTCACTGTAGTACTCAGTTGAGCCCAATACACTTCTATTTAGCACTTATCCAGAAAGATCAACTCTTGGTTTCATCAAATCCTTAGAACGTAGATTCATCTCCACATTCTTTTTAACATTCATAAACGCATCAACTCCTTCAATTAAATCCTCATCAAGCGAATTAGGTATCATTGTAGTAGGATCAAATCTCTCATATGCTTTCAAACATACAAAAGATCTTTTACTTGACTGACTCTCTGGATTCCTCACATTAACTCTGATTGAGGGGCTTACTACATTTGTTGCTGCCGTTGTGTTAAATAGAGATTGATTTATTGGAGAAGTAGGGGTTGACTTATTGATAATATACCTCTTTTTTTTATTTGTCATTTAAGTTGGTGTAGAATTTTCTGATTTTTACATTTTATTTTTATTTATTAAATCTCATTCTATAAAAAAGTTCTACTACAGGGGTTTTGGGGTTTTGGGGTTTTGGGGTTTTGGGGTTTTGGGG